TATGTTATATATAAACACATAATATACATAATCTTGAGTTCATGTAATACATCCAATTCCAATCCAATACCATAAGTTTTCTAAAAAAAATACATAGTGGAAGCCAAGTGTGGTGGCGCATGCCTGTAATCCCAGTGTTTCAGGAGGCTGAGGCAGGAGGATTGGAGTTCAAAGCCAGCCTCAGCAATGGTGAGGCACTAAGTAACTCAGTGAGACCCTGTCTTTAAATAAAAAACAAAATAAGGCTGGAATTGTGGGTTGGTGTTCGAGTGCCCCTGAGTTCAGTCCCTGGTACTATCCCTAACCACCCCCACCCCAATCCACAGTGAAAATTATTTATTTCCAGCATTTGAAATAAGGAGTAATACAACATTCCTTTCTTTAAAATATTCGACTTTGTTTTCCTCTTTTGGATAAGAAGTTCCTGAGTTCATTCATGCATGTATCTAACAGTCTTTTGGCCTGGAGGGTATTGCTTCCTTCAGAACAGCATATAGCTTTCCTTTTTCCAAGTTTCTCTTGTTCTGTATTGAAATTCTCATGGCATTCAATGTTTTTTTTTTTTTCCTGTCTATATTTGTAACTCCTTTTTAGAGTGAGAAACTTGGCTCCCATTATTGTTACACGCTTACCCGTTTGATGTATCATCCTGTACGTAACCTATCTCTGCTTTTCACTCCCACCCCACCTCCACTTCCACCTATGTGTGGACACCCTGATTTCCCTGCTTGGGCTCTGATTCCCTCTTCAAGGCTGCCACTCTGGTGGACACCCTTCTCACTAAGCTTCCCACGCAGAGCAGTTCACCTGTGCATCTACTGTTGGTCTCTGAAGGATTCCTTCCTCTCCTTGCTCAGGCTCTGAAGATCTCCTGCCCTTCCTTGGACTTTGACACTCCATCCCTCCCCATCACAGAGATGCCCTCGTCATTCTGCTTGGGGTCTGACATCTCTTATTGCTCTTCCCTTTGTGTGTGCCTTCCTTATCCTACCTGGTCTCTGACTCCCACTATGGGCCCTGACCTTTTCTGCCCTCACCATAGACACCTGCCTTGCTCTTCCTTAACTAATGACTTCAGGACTGAAATACTCAGAAGGGGAAGACCTCAGCTAGATTGTTTAAAATATGAAATAATAGATCAATAGATACCTAGATTTTTAGGTGTTTTGTCTAGAATCACAGAGAAAATAAATGACAACATAGGTATAGGCAGCTGTGTGTCCTCACAGGGACCTCATCTCCCTGGCTCACTATTTTACCCCCATGAATAAAAATTTGTGACCATTTACACATTTGTTTATAACCAATGGTAATTCATGCTTTTACATCAGGGTCAATATCTAAGTTTTGTGCTTAAGAATTTTTTCCATTCCATGAATATCTAGTCTTAGCCAGATGGGTGGCAATTTTTTAAAAAAATTTATTCATGTGGCTGAGGACATGGAAGCCCTAAGAAGCCACAGCCTTTGTGGCATCCCAGGAATCCAGCACTTCCACTGAGTGTCGTGGTACCATCAGAGCTGATTTCCTTTCAAAACATTTATTTGGAACCTTGCAAGAGAAAAATACCATCATCATAACACAAACATGAGTCCCTCAAATAGTTTCTTTAATCACTGTTCAAAGAAGAAGAACATTGTTCAGATAATCATGTGGGGAAGTGTTTCCAAAGCACAATCTGAAGAATGTCATCTCTGAGAGATTCTTATTGAGATGATTCAGCAGTCAAATAGCATTAGAAACTTTGCAATTCATAATGCACATGAGTGTACTAAAGACTCTAAGAAATCCTAAAGTGAAGAAACTTTGTATAACCTGGTGCTGTCCAAATTTCCTTAACCACAGAGCTTCTGTTTAGAATTATACCTACTTTGGCCTTATTTACTTATTTATGCAATGGGCAAAAAGATTGCATATTACATGTAGCTACTACATGGAACAAATTAGGCAAAAATATGTAAAGTATTATTTTATTTGGCTTTTTCATTGCAACTAAAAGGCCTAACAAGAGCAATTAGAGGAGGGAAAGTTTATTTTGGGGGCTCACTGCTGGGAGCCATTACCCAAGTAGGTATGACAATTTCCTTGCCAGCGTACCCCATGTTGCAGTGACATTGAATGTACTTAACCTTGCTCAAGGACCAAGGCAGATTAGGGTGTTCCCGGTTTTAAGATAATCGTGTTTAGGGCGTTCCCGGTTTAGGTTCCAGGTTTAAGGTTTAAGATTATTCCTGCTGGGAATAGGGCGTATCCTGCTGCCTGAGTTCCCCTTGAGTTCTCACGGGATTCAGACAGTATATTTTGGAGATAGAAGCCCAGTGGAGGTGGATTTGGGCAGAGAACGTGGATTTCCCCAGAACGTGATTGTAGACGGCTGGTGTGAGTTCGGGAATAAAGAGTTGCTGTTTGAATCTACAAGCTGTGTGGTGGCTCATGATTGTGTGCCCAGCCAGACTGCGGCATTTGTGCCCAGCCAGACTGCGGCATTTCAGAAGTCTCAGTCTATAAACAGCCAACCCCATTCTTTGGGACATGAGATGAGATAAAACACCATGGTAGAAATGTGTGGCAGAGGAAAGCACCTGGGAACATGGCACTGGTGGGGAGGGGCAGGGAGGGAGAGAGAGAGAGAGAGAGAGAGAGGACTCAACTCTCTAGGTATAAAATATAAACCCCAAAGGCATAACCCCCAATGACTCACCTCCTCCAGTCACACCCTACCTGTCTGCAGTCACCCAATTAATCCCTATCAGGGGATAATGCATTTATTAGGTGAAGTCTCTCATAATCCAATCATTTCACCTCTAAACTTCTTTGCATTGTCTTACAAATGAGCTTCTGGGAAACACCCCATATCTAAACCATAACAAGCATATTGTGTGTGTGTGTGTGTGTGTGTGTATATATATATATAAACACCATACTTGGTATATTGTAGGTGTCTACTAGGTGCTAATTCCTTTTCTCAGATTTATTATTTATTGAACATTTTAATTTTTATTATTGAATGAGTAATCTAATTTAAAATATGGTAGAGTGCCCCTGAGTTCAATCCCTGGTAATAAAAAATATATATTTATATATTTTATTATATATATTTATAATAATATATATATATATATATATATATTTTATTACCAGGGATTGAACTCACACACACACACACACACACACACACACAAACACAAGGGAAAACGTGAAGTTTTAAAAAGAATATAACATTTTTAAAATATTTTATTTTTTAGTTGTACACAATACCTTTATTTTGTTTATTTATTTTATTTGGTGTTGAGGATTGAACACAGGGCTTCGTGCATGCTAGGCGAGCGCTCTACCGCTGAGCCACAACCCAAGCCCAGGATATAACATTTTTAAAAGTTTGTTCCACTCCAGATTTCCATGAAAAATTTTTTATGTACCCTTCCAGACATTTTGTGTGTACAACATGCAGACATATATGAAAAAGATACTTTTAACATATTCACAATAACTGAAATAATGGACTTGCATTCATTTGTACTTCATCAGTACCTCTAAGTCCTTTCATTTTGTACTACATTAGTGTGTTTTTCTTAAACTCCAGAGTTGGATAATGTTAGGGCTTTACAGTCATGTCCCCTAAAGCCCTAACATTAGGGGACATGAGCCCTAACATTAAAAAAGAGATTGGGGGGTTATGTATATATATACATATTAAGTATAGTTACTACAGAATACTAAACCATTAATTCCTTTAAGGAGTATTTAGCAAGGTTTTACAAGATATATTTTACATTTAAGGTGATTTTTTTGTTATTATATACAACATACACACACACACACACACACACACATAGTTGTTTGGGAGTCAACCAAAAAAATCACCTTAAATGTAAAATATATTTTGTAAAACCTTGCTAAATACTCCCTAAAGGAATTAATGGTTTAGTATTCTGTAGGAACTATGCTTTATTATCTTTCACCTTAATAGTTACTACTTACCAGGTATTATATCTCCGTATCTCATCCCTAAGGGAATATGAGTTCTTTGAGGACTTGTCCATGTCTCGTAATGATCTTGACATATTGAAGGCATTTAATAAATGTGGTTTTGATTAGTGGAGGGAGCATCCAGAGCATCTGTTCTGTCCACTATAAACAGAACTCAGAGGAGGTGGGTGCTCATTCACTCATTCATTCATTCTGGGATAGGTAAGGAGTGAGAAGAAGAACTTGGGATCCTGGCAACAGAGTTAGATCTGAAGCGCCAGAGAGAAACCAGTTTGTAGGAACTCAGATGGAATATAAATTTGGGGATGGGTTAGGGGGCACATTTAAGTAATTCTTAAATGTAATTAAGTAATTCTAGGCTTTAGTGTTTTGCAAAGCACTAAATCAGTATGTCTACTCACCAACTGCAGCTGTCAATGTGTAGGCCCCTTAAAAACTTCAAGCGCTAGAATCACATGCAGCTCTTGCTGTCTGTTCTCTCCTTGATAATATACTTCATTTCCCAACAGAGAGGTGCATGGCCTGAAGCCCCTGCTCCAATACCTGTGCTGGACCCTCCTAAAACAAAAGCACAGGAAGCTGAGCTGTAGCTGATCACCAGGTTCCACTGCCTTCCTGATTTCCTCTCTGGATCCTTCTTTTTTGTTCCCTTCCTTCAGTCTCTTCCTTGTTTGGATATTTACCCTTTGACCCTCTTAGCTAATCCCTCCCCTTCTTTATTGCCCTGCATTATCTTCTTTTACCGGTAATTACAATCAATCAGTTTTTTCATGTTCTCCTTCAGTGAAGGTTGGGGACAATGCAAGTAGAATATGCACCTTTTATTAGGTGATTTGAACTGCATTCTGGATTAACCTCAAAACTCCCCAAAATTGGAAAACACCTTCCTGATCCATCACTGAAAGGACGAATCATTTTTATATTTTAGGACAATTTCTTATTAAAGTTCTTGGCTCAAGGAGAAGACACGTTAGTTGCTTTTCAGCAAGGAGTAGATCTGTGCCTTTACCATGGCTCGCTGCCGCCCCTGTGACCTCAGGGTGCTGGTAGCCGTTGCATGTGGGCTGCTGACGGCCATCATTTTGGGACTGGGCATCTGGAGGACAGTGATAAGGATCCAGAGAGGTAATGTCACCCTGTTTCGCTTTACTTTGAGAGAGAGAAGGCATGAGTCTCTGTCCATGACATATGCCACCTGACATAACAATGCTGGAAAGTAGCTTGTCCAGGCTAAGGCTGCCCACCACATTGCCATTATGAAATACAAGAGTCAATGATGGCCAGCAGGCAGCTGTGTATGTATAAATACACACGGTGTGTGAATAGGCAGCATGAAGGATGACACAGTTGAGTTTTTATGCTCTTTTAACTCTTGACTGACTTAAAGAGTAATAATTAAAGTCATTAGTAATACATTTGGATTTGTTTAATTCTACGCAATTAAGGTAAATAGTTATGGGTACTCACAGCCAATCAAACACGGGCAGAATAAAATTTCATTTCAACAAGGATGTTTAGAAATAAACAATAGAGTTGTCAGTAAAATGACCTCAGAGTTTGCATACAGGCTTTCTTCTTTCCTCTTTTTATAGTTAGAAAACAACTAAAAATTAAGATATTAAAATAATTTTCCTGGTTATTCAACATGTTGTTATTAGTCTCCTGGTGTGTACATTGCTAATGTGTGAAATGGCATTAGGAGGGGCAGGAGTGTATGAGACGATGGCGTTAAGGAGAGCCCTCAGAGCTCACAACAATCTCTATGCTGTGCCCCAAAATAGAGAACATTTCTGATGAAACTGAGTAAATAGGGGCAACTAATGCCAGTCAGGAGAGGCAGGAAGAGAGGCCATCTGCCCTCTAAGTAGACTGCTGTAGGACCACAGTGCATGACTGCAAAGGTCCCCAGTGAGAACAAAAGGGGTCAGATACATGGGCTGCAGTTCTCTGGCCCCAAGGAATAATATTTAGAGAATATTGTATTAATATCATTTAGAGAACTAGGAAAATAATTGATCAGAAAAACATAAGATTTAAACTTGGGGAAAATGTACTTTTGTTTGCTTAAGTTTTGTAAAATAGTTTATTTTAGGTTTTAAAAAATTGTGAACTAGAGCTATTTCTCCCTGGTAAGCTTGCTAAATTGAGGAGCTTCATTTAAAGGGTAAATATTTAAGAAGTCTTCTTTTCCTTTATTTATAACATCTAGTTTTAAAGGGAAAAATTGTGGTGATTTTAAAAGGACACAGAATAGAACTAATAAAACAAAGACCAAAGTGCAAAAACAACATGAAGAATAAGATAGGGAGGGGGATAGATTATATCAAATCCAAAGACTCAGGGGGAGCTGCTTAAAATAAATACAAAATAAGACTAAGACCCCAAAGGAAGAATAGAGTAACAAATGTCCCATTTCTAAAAGCAGAAGCATACTAGCTCTTCATAAAAGACTAAATTTTCCATTGTTCTGAATTTTCCAATTGAATCTTTATATGAAGACATCCCTCAATTTTTTATTAAACCCAGTAGAAAAGGGGAGGGTCATCACTTTTGTTTAAAGAAAAGGATGGAGACTGGTACTATCTGCTGTTGCTGTTTGCTTTGTCCATTTTATTTATTCATAGTGTGTTCATTCCATTCCACTTCATTTTTTTCCCACTCACTTCCTTCAGTCTATTGCTCCTCTTTCCATCCTATCCCATCCTATTCATCCCATCCCATTCCATCCCATCCCATCCCACCATCTCATCTCCTATAATTGTTGGATGTTCTTTTGGTTCCTCTACATAGGTATAGAAATATATTGTTTTTAAAATTTTTAGGGGAATAAAGGTCATGAATATCTCTGAGAAATTCATGAAAACTATGATTGTCTTATTCAGAAAAAATGTACACAAGCATACATGTTAAATTTTGGATAATGTAATTTTATTGCAGTCAAAATTAATTTTGTTAACATAAGCAGATGTATAAATTATGTCTCATTTTTATTTTTCATTAGAAAGTGATAGCTTCTTAGTGAAAAATAGAAAAAAAAATCCTGTCTAATTAAATTTCAATGAGAAGTTACTGTTATTTGGCCATAGGGGACCAACACTAATATGATGATATGCATGCTATTTATGCATTTGATCATTAAAAGACCTATAATATCAAAAATTTTTTCTATATTCTAAGCATTGTGCTGAAAATTTCACATACTTTATATCATTTAATCTCACAACCGCCTTTGGAGTTGATGTTATGTTCTATGTTGCAAGTGGGGGAAATTCAGGCTCTTGAGAATATTTCATGCTTACATAGCTGGAAAGTTTGGATTTTGAACTTGATCATTTTAACTTTAGTATCTGTGATCTTAACTTTCCTACAGAGAAGACAAGGGTAGACCCAAATCAATTAACTTATTTTTTCTTCTTGAGATAGCAGTGGCTGAAAAACCTAATTCACAAAGACGTGCAGTAAGCAGCAGAATCAGGGCAGTCTGTTGTTTTGCTAGGCAAAGTCAGGCTCTTTGGGGAAGTAAGATTGTCTTCAAGTCAATGAGATCTACATGATTAATGCAGTGTATAGAGTGTAGCTTTAGTCATGCTTCAGTTTTAAGGCTTACTGAGTCTTCAGTGGTGTCCATAGATTTTTGGCTGCTGAGTAACTGTCATGGATTTGCCACCTTGTACTAGGATGTGCAAAGTTCTTCCTTCAGCTTCGCTAAGTTATACTTGTCTGCATTGATCTTCTAACCAAGAACCGCAAAAGAGACTGCATTCCTAGCAGTATTCATCCTGATAATTGGCTGCTTTTAATGGAAAGAGTTCTCACATTCACATAGATCCAAACATCTAATACCTATCAAACAAGACATGAAGGAGCTCAACTCTAATCATTCTAAGTGTTAGTTTTCCTAATTATTTCTTAAAATGGATCATTGGTTTAAATATCAAACAAGTACTTTAAGACATAGTCTCTAGGATGCTAGGAATAGAGAAGTATTTTAAAATTCTGTTCCTATTTCCTTATTGATCTCTTGTTAAAACTGCACAGTTTAAGGCTCTGGGTTGACAAAGAAAACAGAATTTCATGGGAATAGGTTAGATTTCTTTCAAGATTATTGGAGAAGTCCATCATTTCTACATGCCACTGATGGAACCATTAAAAAAAATAATGATCTTTTTCAACCAAGTGACATGATGAGATATATTGCCAAGTGTAAAATTTTCTCCATCTGTGTTCCCAGGCACAAGACTACCTATCCATTTTCAATGTCTAGACTTGAAGTTCTTCTTTAATGATGTCCATTTACCTAGAACACTCCTCACCAGAGTTTCACATGAATGGCTCCTTCTCTGATGATTTTGGTCTCATGTTGAGTGTCACCTCCTTCAAGAGATCTTTCCTACCCACCCAGGCTGGTATCACCCTCTTTGCTCTGTTTTACATGTATTTTTGTCATAGCTTTTATCCTGGATAATTTCTTACTTAACTTGTTTACTGGTTAATTGTCTCCCCATTTCTAGAATGAGAGTTCCATGAGAAGGAGGGCCTACTTACTAAACTGCATTCCCTACACCTAGAATAGGACTTGCATGATAGCTGCCCAAACATAATTAATGAGTGAACAGAAGACTCATGTGACAACCAGAAACTGGGCTTAGTCCACTTATTTCTTGACGCATGATAAGCAACAGAAATTTATTTCTCACAGTTCTATTGGCTAAGAATTCTTGAGATCAAGTTACTGGGAGAGTCAGTATATGATAAAGGCCTATTTCCTCCTTCAGAGAAGGTGGCTTTTTGCTATATCCTTATATGGTATCAAAGGAAAATTCTATCTGTACAGCCCTTAATGGCATTAATTACATTTGGGCATGGTCTACCCTCATGAACTAATTACCTTTCAAAGTTTCAACTTCTAATACCTTCACATTGGAAAGTTTTAACAAGGGGACACAATATTCAGTCCATAGCATGAAATAAGAATTGTCAAATAGTTAAGAAAGGAAATAACATTACCACCTGTTCCTTATAATGTCTTTTAAAGTATTAAAAGAAATACAATTCTGGACTTTTTAAAGAAAGGTATCACTTTAGTTTTCTTTCTCTACTCCAAGCCATGCACCATATCACCATTTCTAGGACTCTTCGCTTAAGATCTCTCCAGTTGGCCTCTTTAGTTTAACCATGTGATCAGCAATGTTGTAGGATGCCTATATATTGGAGCAAATCTAAGTTTTGCCAGATTGCTGGAATTTTCAAATTAGGCATGCTCCACAGAAAAACATCCACCTCGTCTGATGTATTTTCAGAATGGACAAGCCTAAGTGCTCTGTCTCTGTTGGCTTTGTGCTTTCAATAGCAAGAGGCTTGTACCACAAAAAGCAGCATGGGTTTTGGGTTCCATTACATTTGATGATGAAAGTAAAATGAAAATATAATTAGGCTTTATTATATTTCCTTCCTTTGACATTTTCCAACTTGAGCTAAGCCTACTGTAAATATAGACAGATGTTCATAATCACAATGGCAGTGGGGTGTTTTCTTAACTTCTATTAGTAGAGAATGTCTTACCTCAAAACACACTGGCAGTGCTATTACACCTTATTTGACCATATCCCACACTGCTCCTGGCCCAAGAACTTCCTGTTCACTTGCGTCTCATTTCCTTCTCTCCAGATAGTCTAACCTTTGTTCCTTGCCACAGAACAGAACATACCTGTTCCTCAGCCTAACAAGAGATTTCAGTAGGTTGAAATAGCCCCAAACTGCAAAGCCAGATTTTATAACACTAATAATTCTTCAGTAGAAAATGTGAGTTGTCAGGAAAGGTCAAGGAGAGTTTATTGTTTCTTAGAAAATAATCTGTCCATGGATACTTGGCTTTCAATTCTCTAGATTTCAGTACTTCCTGTACTGCTAATCTCAGTAATAAATCTAACTCCTGGAGGACAGTTGCATTTGGGGTTTAAAAACACTTCTCTGAAGTGTTTTTTGGATGGAGGAATCTAGGTTTCAGGCCACAGTGGTGTTTCTCAGTCTCAATTCTGCTGTTAAAAATCTCACTTCCATTCCTTTACCATTCACCTCTCTTGCTGCCTCACATATCCACCCTCTAAATAAGAAAAACAGTGGTT